AGGTTTAAAATACTGCAGAAAAATGTCTTTCATTATCATCGTTGTATCATACTGCAAAAGTAAAGATGATACTGCTGGTTTTGGTCACAATATGGAGAGGATGCATTTAAAAACAGTTCAACCTGGAGAGACTCACACAGAGAAAAACAAAACCTTAATCATCAGCAGAGAAAAGTAAGGAATGAGACAAATAAATGGTAGTGGTAATGAGAGGCTCTCATAATAAAGTTTTGGCTGTTATTTAGTGCTCATTTGAAAGTTTAAGTAGAAAATCTGTTTTTTATGTATATTTCTGGAAGTGGTCATTGGTTTTGTGATGTATTGATTTTAATTGATACACTGCAAGAATCTATTCATTTTGAATAAAAAAAAAACATTGTCTAAGGTATGATTCATACCTGCAACATAATGGAATGTAACTCATAAACTCTAAGGTTGAATTACGGCAATTAAATGTAGAGACAATTAAACTATGTTTACCATTATGTTAATAAACTAAGTTTACCTAATGAATTTTCTTGATAAAGTAACAACCTTTCATAAATAGATCTTGTCTTGCAATTTTGGTAGCTTTTTTAGCTCATTCATAATTAATACTGACTAATACAAAAATTAGTGGAGCATTATAAAACCTGACTGACTACAGAGCTGCTTTAGACTCATTCAATAACTCAGCACTAAACAGCAAATTGCATTTTTTGCATATGAAGAATAACCCATACCTCAAAGGTTTTGTTTTTAATTTGACTTACAGCTTATTATGTTCAGTTCTGTCATTAACTCAACTGACTAGACTTGAAATTTGAATTTAAAAGACAATGAGTTAGTTCAGATGGATTAAGAAGATTGCATCTTGGGTAAAAGAAGTAGAAAATCTTTTGAAAGCATGAAATTAAGTTAGGATACATTGTTTAATCTCCATCTGACTCTGGAGCACGGTACTTCCGGCTGATAACCCAAACATTGTCTGACTTTGGGTAACGTAACATCTTTTTCTTTCAGTTGCCATTGTATTAAATAGCTTTTAAATTTTTAATATTAAATACATAAAACAATTTATTATTTTTTAGTTTTAAGAATTTGAATTACTAAATCTGATGAGTGTGCATAGGATGGGGGAAAATGGCTTGTTCATTACCTGTGTTGGAGTTAATGTGTCCTATAGGACTGTATGTTTTCTGTGTGACTCCATTGATACTAAAATCAACTGCAGCTCAGGTTTCTGTCAGATATCCTGTCAAGTTTCTCTTCCAGCCCTATCAAGTCTCCCATTATAGGGAGAAAAAAAAAATGAAATGATAATAATGGTAGCACAGGTCTGCTGAGATGTCAACTGAAATCTGGAGCCGAGGGAAATATGAACATGAAGGTGCAGAGAAATAAAAGCAGTTATTTGTATGAAAAGGGTCAGCTGAGGTGGAACACTGAAGTTTTGATGGAGAGGACCAGAAAAAAAATGAGATGATGTATACCAAGAAGTCACAAAGGACTATACCAACAAAGGGAGAGTTTTAGAACAGCACAAAGCAAGCCTATATTCCTTGATGGGTTTTCATTTGTGCAGCTGCTGTACTGACTAAATTGAATAAACCAAGTTTCAAATTTGTCCCTAACTTATTCGTTATGAGTGAATTATGCAAATGTCTGAAGAAACACAGTCATTTACATGTGGAATGAGTTTAGGCAGCTTTGCATCCATCTGTACTTCTATAAGTATTGGGCTTCAAATGAGAACAACAGTTATGATATTCTTTCCTGAATAATAGTTCCTGCTTTGCTTTTTAATATGGCAAGATGACTTTTAATTGTTTTTGGGAAAGGCTTAGCTCTTGCATATTGGAGTAAAATGTTTGTGCTCTGTTAGATCTATCCTTTTCAAATCATTTTATTATGAATCTGGATTATTTATATACAACGCTCCACAGAGTTACAACCAAAAAATAGGTTTGTTTCCCATAAATTTATGACATCTGAGTTTTATGAGAGTCCCAAGCGTGCAACCTCGGTCACATTGAAAACTATAAAAAGAAAAAGGTTCAACTTTATTTGGCTGTTACTGTCAGGGTTGGGTGGTTAAGGACCCAAATTCAGAGATGAGGAGGCAGAGATGAGTTTTACCTGATTTAATCAAAAAAGGGCAACAGAAACAAAATCCAAGAACAAAATACAGGATATCAAAAAATAAACATGAGACATCAGGGGGGGAAAAAACACATGAGGAGCTAAGCAACAATAAGAAACCCGCACTGATTAACTGCACAGGAGGTGTATATATATGGGGGACAGCACAAAGACTGAGCTAATTATCTGATAGGGAGCAAGTGTGGATAGAACGAACTAGAAGGGAGCTAGGGGAGAGGAGACTGGCACAAGGAGGCAACAGAGAGCAATGCAAAAAAAAACAACATGGATAGAAAACAACTACAGTGACACAAAATGGGAAAGAAAACATTGACCAAGAAAACAGGACATATCTGAAAACTCAAAAAGACGTCTAAAGGGGAGAACCATAACAGTTACTAACAGTTACTGTCACAGAGGAGGCCATATAGTATGATTACTGAGTTTGTATGTTAATGCATTAAAAAGGACATAACTGCTCCATCACAATACTGAAACTTCACAGAGCTTCACTTTAAAAATGTTCACTATGCATTTTTGAATGTATATTTTTCATAATTAGTTTTGTTTAGTAGCTGTCTGTAATGTGAATTGACAAGATAATTAAAAAGCGCTCAAATAGTCTAAGGTAGCATCTAAAGTGATGCTGTAAAAAACTTTTCATTTTACACTTCAGTTAAAAAAAAGACATCTACAGTATATGAGGAAAGCAAGATTAAATCAAGCGGCCAACTATGATTATTTTGTGTGAAGTTTTTTTTCCCCACACTGCATTAACCTCTACATCTATTTTTTTTCAATAAGCTTTAGGTTTATATTTACTGAAGCAGAGCAGGTGGTTCACTAAGCAATTGACTGGACCGGAAGTGAACAAACACACTTAAAGCACACCCCCTCTAACTGTCCAACAACATCATTTATCACATTGTGATGACTTGATGGCCCAGCCAGTTGGTTGCCCCTGCTGTAATGTTTAGCCAGCTGTGACGCTTGGCCTAATGACTTGACTGGGTTTTCTTAATGGAGCAAAAGCCTGCTGGAAATGTTGAGGTTTGGCAGGTTAAAAAACAAAATCTGTCAAAGATGTGAGCACAGAAACCTGCCCTCCAACTGCAAAGGGAGGCAAAACGACACAATTTATCACATTTTGCATCTTTAACTTTTCTGCTGATGGGACATTTAGTTTCCAACTCACAAGCTTACATTAATAGTTTAGTGTTTTGTATCAGCTAAATTAAGAAAGTCATAAAATCATATCTAAGGTTAGGGTTGTTGCTGCACAGTAAGCTGGTGCAGTCTCAGCATATTTGTCACAATTTGATTCCATGATCACACATTTTTGTCAACATATCTGACAAAAATTATTTCATAAAGTTAAAGATAGTGGGTTTCTTCTTGACTTCCTAAATAAAATGCAATATAATACAATACAACCATTCTGTATTTTCTCAGAAATTCAAATATGTCAGTGGCAGATCAAAAAAGCAAATGCAAGTAAACAGGTTCATACATTTCTAAAGATTGACAACCTTCAGATTTACATTGGCCCTTACGATGCTTTTCAGATCAACAAACTCCTTCTCAGGTCTGTCAGTTTAGAATGATGGCTTTTAGGTTTTAAAGCTGGGATAAACTGATTCCACCTTCAGATAATTGGTTGAACAGTTCTCCGTGATCTGTGCAAAGCTTTGAATACTTTTCATCTGCTCTTGCTGAAAAGCTTTCAAAGAATGTACTAAATTAGCCTCTGATCTTAAAATCTCTATAGGACTCTATATTATTCAGAAAACATGTTTCTGTAGTGCAGAATTGTCGACACAGTTGCCCTGCAGCAGAAATGTATTGTGTTTGAACTCAAGCCTTTTTGAACAGATTTTGGCTAATAGTTGCTTCAGGCTCCCCACTTATATCCCGCACATATGTGTGAGAATACACAATGGATGTGGACGAATAATCTTAAACATTGCATATTGAAAATATGATCAACTTTGATTTGCTCGCCATTCTCTGCAATTGACCTGATAACATTTGATTTCATTTGAGCACATTGGATAATTAGGGAGTATAGCAAACAACCAAAATATTGATGAACTGATTGTGATTTAACTGGATAAATAAATATGTATCTAAAGAGTATTTTGCTTTCATTTAACCTCCCCAGTCAGAGAGTAAGTCTGAAATTTCCACTTCAATAAAAGTCTCTCAAGACCAAATTGTAATTTGGCTTGTAGATATTTAAATGATCAATTTCTTCAAAGATTGATAACTAGCAGTCCTTATTTCTTACTTTTGTTTATTTAGATGACTTTAGAACTAATTGGTTTTCTGTAGTATGTCTTTTTAAAGGTTTAATATTCAGGATTAAGCTCTTAGTATATTTAAATGTTCTTTTCTAGGTTGACTTGCTGCCCCACTGCATTCCAGGTCTTTATTATGTCAACACATGATTTGTTCAAAATTTATTGTAGGACTTTCTTGCAGCTTTGTTTCAGAAAAATGTATTAGATGTGGAAAATATTTCTTTCACAACCTCTTCTACCTGTCCTAAATACAGTCT